CAGACCCCATACGTACAGACAATAAAAATAGAAAAACTTACGTAATTATTCATTTCTATTTCCATTTTATAAATTATCTACAGCCGGGATCTACAGACCCTACAACAATACCGAGTCGCTAACCATATGATAATTATTTGAAAAACACCGCTAAACGAGTTGTTAAGACTTAATGTTTATGGTACCTTGCCAGGGACCTTGTTGTTTAAGGGTCTGAAAGGATTAAATTACATTACTTGTTTTGCGTAATTTAGACTAAGTCTTTACAGTATCTTTAACTACTTTGAGTTATAACTGTAACTTCTTAATTTATTTCCAGTCTGCCATATTTAACTTCCAAAGTTTGCTGACAGTGGTATTGTTGCTCATCTGTACATGCGCCTACATCAGGTCTATAGCTCCTAGAATGCTAGACAAGAACAAAGAAGGGTATGTAATGTTTTAAAATTGTATCCAATCAAAGTTGAAATTCATAATGATATTGAGAACACCTCTGTCTGTCCATATATTCGGGCCATATCTCAAATACTGTTAGCTTGATATGGTGGCCAGAACTGTTATTTTCAGGAACACATAATTTATTCCATACATAGTCTAGCTACACCTTTCAGCATTGTTCCAAGAGTACACTAGAATATTAGTTGAGGCCTTGAGGGAAAACAATTTTTTTTATATATTATTGTATGAAAATTTAGAAAATTCAGTGGCCTACTTTTTAAAAGGACAAAAACGCTGGTCATTGGTTTTCCTCTCTCTGAAATGTCTTATATATTTCCTAACCTTCAACTGATAATCTGTGTATGTTTTTAACTCTGTGCGAAACTGAAAATTTTGGACCATATACATGTATGGAATGAATTATGTGTTCCTGAAATGGGACTCCAATATTAGGAAGCCATTAAATATGGACATACGAAACAACCTTAAAGTATCATATTAAGTTAAAGTAACATTTCCAAAACCATTATATTTCATATATTCAAAACCATGATTTATATAAGGATGGTGTTCTCATTTCATTATACCTAAAAAGATTTTGTCACGCATTGGTTGGTAATGGCATCTCGTTTTCTCTTCTCCAAATTTTCAGCAGATAGCTTGTATTAACAATTATTTGATGTTTTTTGTTACATAAATTTAAGGCACAATATTGTTCACCATTTGCTTTATTTTGTTTTAACCACCCTCCCCTAAAACCTAAAAATGTTAAACTTCCTTTCACTTTACAATATCATTCACCTACACCCCCAAAATTATCAACATTTAGACATGATTAAAGATTAAAAATTATTGACTCACTGATTGTTTTTTAAATGTTATTAATAATTACATTCATGATTTTGCTTGCAGCTTGTTAGGACTATTCTGGAAATGTGCAAGAATAGGTGAGCAAATTATACAGTAGCCTAGTATTAAGTAAATATGATAATGGCTAACATTGTGTTCATTGTTTTTTTATGGAAAAACAAAAATGTTACTGGAGCTTCCCTTAAAAAACAGGAGGTTGGCAACTCTGTATTGTAACATGTCCCATGTGCCAGTCATGAAAGAAATCCATTAGCCTAAAAATATATAATTCTAAGTATCCTAAGTATATACCATTGAAATTACATCATGTGACAACACTTCAAGAAATTACAATTTTAAACTGAGATTTGAATTTATTTTTGCAGCAATGAGTAAAATGATGTGCCAATTGAAAATGATTAGAATTGGATATATAGACATGTTTCATTAGTTCATGTTATGAGACTGATTTCCCATTTTCTTAAGAATGTTATTTCGGAAATTATTTGACAGGGGGAAGTGTTGATGATTGATTGCTGCTCATAGAATGATTACTTAAGAATATTTCAACATTAATTTTTTCAGGTGAAAGGAAAAGTCCATATGTGGCAGTGTGTTGTATTGCTATGGCTGTCAGCATCCTTTTCTTCAGTTAAATCATCACCATAGAAATCATTGTTGGAATCATCATGAAAATCATCGATCACAACAATATGCCAAACATAGAACTCATACAGAAATCACAGGTTACAATATAGGAATTGAAAATACAAGAACATACCTGATGTTGGCTGAGAGAATGCATCTGTATTTTGGATAATGGGAAGTATGCTGCCCCTGTGAATATTATGGAATGCCCTTTTAGAATGATTTTGTACATTGCATAGGTGTAGGCCATCAGTTTTTGTGACGGCAAAGCTAATATGTATTTTATGCCTTTGAAAGGATAAATTATGCGAAATGTTGGCAACAAGATTGATCAGACAGATATGATTGATATGATTTTGTATAAAAGGGGAAAACTTGACTGGCTCAATATGTCATCTTGATCAGTTATTCACAAATCCTATCCCCATGTACTGTACTGTACTGAACTGTACCTAACCTGGTACAGTACTGGTACTGTACTGTTACTAAGATTAAACATGTATAGACTGTCTGGGAATATTTTAAAACTACTGTATAATTTAACTTTGAAACATTTTCATTTGAAATAACAATACATTTATGTGATATCTTTATGCACAATTATCTATGAATTATAATTTCATGACAAAATTGCCAAAATTTATTAGTATGACATTGTTTCATGAAGAATGATCTCACTTCTCTATGTGAAGCAATGTATGATGTGATTATATCTTGGCACATGAGGCAATATCTATGTACAATGTATGTGTACATTATATATTTGTATTTATTGTATAAATTGTAAATAAAATATATATATTGTAAAATTATATATTCGATGTCTTTCTTCAGAGCTTATGTTAAACAAATGCAAAAGATAAGCGTTTCAAAGTGAATGTTTAGTCAAGGTGGTTTATACCTGGATGTCCTGTATGAGGTTCAGGATATTGGGATTATCCAGAGGCTATTATGATATATCTGCCTGAGGGAATTAGGTCAGATATATCATATTAGCCAAGGGATAATTCCAATATCCTGAACCGACTATAGGATAATATGATTTTCCCATTTGTCTTTATTGCTTAATTATGCGAATGGTACATAAAGCAGTAAAAACTTATATTTTCATCAGCAGGCAGATATAGAGATTATCCTATATGAGGTTCAGGATATTGGGATTATCCCGAGGCAAATATAATATATTTGCCCGAGGGCCGCAGGTCCCGAGGGAAAATATATAATATTGGCCAAGGGATAATCCCAATATCCTGAACCGACTATAGGATAATATGTTTATCCCATACCAATCTTGGTCATCTGGTTCACATTGTTCAATCGTGGAAATATTTTAAAATATTCACGTCCAGTTTTGTTTCCTTGGCCGTGAGCGGATTTTCCTGTTCTCTCAAATATTCCCATATTTATTTTCTCGAATTTTTGATTGATTAAGTGGATGCTCCTTCCCTTTTTTAAACCATCAAACAGATCCCGATTGTCTGTGTTTTCTCCATTGTCGTTTACAGTCATTACGCGAACGTTACAAATTATGAACAAATATGCGAGCGGCGATTATGACGTAGCGGGCAGATATACTATATCTGCCCGCTCGGAGCTGGACGTAAAGCTATATCTGCCCGCTGATGAAAATATAAGTTTTTACAAACCGGCTTTATGTACCTGTAACACGTCCAAGTATGGGATAAATAACTTTACGTCACGCGCTAAGCAGGAAGATATACTATATTTGCCTGCTACGTAATAATCGTCGTTCGCATGTTGGTACATTTTTGTACCATTCATATAAATACTGTAAATAGCAATGAAAAATAAATACAGACAATTGCAACCTGTTTTAAACAAGGGAAGTTCGAGAACAGAAATGTAGATGTAGAAAATTCTAACTACAGCCAAGAAAAAACAAGAAAAAAATGGACATGACTATTCTAACAGAATCCGTAATGTTAAAATTTTTCTGAACTCGGGACAATGTGAACCAGATGAGCATGACTGGTATGGGATAAACAGATCATCCTATAGTTGGTTTAGGATATTGGTGGTATTATCCCTTGGCCAATATAATATATCAACCCTTGGGACCTCGTGCAGATATATTATATTGGCCTCTGGATAATACCAATATCTTGAACCTCCTATAGGATCCTGTCTCCTAATGAAAACAACTTTTTACAAAACCTGTTTTATGTTCCTCAAACACTTCCAAGTATGGGATAAATAGAGATTACCCTATCATGATGATCAGGATATTGGGATCATCTAGAAGCTAATGTCCATGCACAAGTCACGCACAGTTACAATAGGAAAGCTCAACGAACCATATTTGTGGGATACTAACTTGACCATAACTTTTATCCAAGCTTGTATTCACAAATGCAACTTACACCCGTCAGCTACCAGATTAGCCTTCTATTTTATAGGCAACTCATTTAAATATAATAGTACCTGCCACTATTCCATTCATATCTAAATGAGTTGGTCATAAAATAGTAGCTAGTTAATCCGGTAGCCGACAGGCATTTGTTGTTTTTGCAAATACAAGGTAAGACAAATAGGCATAACAATACTACTAACATTTAATAAAAATTATTTTACAAAATTTATTGAAAGATAAATTTCAATAAGATTATCACATAACTGGATTAAACTTAGTATGTATGCTTCTTGCAACTTGGTTACACAATTTGAGCAGTGGAGAATGCCTTCTCCAAGTGAACGGGATAATGCGAATTGGATTTGGGGATGCAAAAATACTGAATGGACTATAACACAATGAAATATCTTAGAACAGTATAGCTTGATTGGTCACTCAAAATACATTCAAGTTGATCAATAAAAGAATAGGCTCCTAAAATCAAAGTTTTGCAATTAACTATTTCAAATATTCGCAAGTCTAACTACAAGACCTTGTGACACATCTTGTCAGTTCAGTTGTGTTGGTACCATGTAGTCCAGGATCTTGAAGCAAGACTAAATATTCACAAGCAATGTAAAATAATAGATCATACAGTCATGAGAGGTATTCGTATAATTTAAGCAACAAATGATGACACCTTTAACACCTACAGGGTCATGTCAGTACAGTATTTAAGAAGCTCTGCAAAGCCTACTCCTTGTAATGTCATGGCTGAGCTAATAGATCTCCAGCTATCAGAAAGACTAGGAGGTATTATTGGTGCTATACATTGTAAAGTTTATTCCCATAGATTCAACATAATATTTCTTAATGTAAAGGTTTAAAATTAATATACTTTTAAGCAAAACTTGTTTCAAAATGGGAAACAACTGTACAACTAATACAGTACAAGGAGTACAGAAAAGATATACATTAAATCAAGCAAAATGTATAAAACTTTGTTAACAGAACACCTTAAGATGTGAACACTTTCACTATTCACTTTTTCAATATCCCACTGACACTCCTGTATTGTTAGAGCCTCTTAAGAGAACACATGTATCCAGTTGTACCAGAACATATGTTCACTGTTCTGCATTGTTTAATCCTTGTGTTCATGATCATCATCCTCATCATTTAATGTACCAGGAGTGTCCTCCCCTGCATCCATAGGAGGAAGCCCCTCATCCTCACCATGCTCTGTGGGAGGTTCCTCGGTATAAGTCTTCCTCTTGAAAACAGTAAGCACCATCACTTGACCAGTTATTACACACACATTATCCATGATTAATCTCATTTGATTCCAGTAATCAATCCCTCGTTTTCTAGTCCAATATTGCACCCTGCAGTCAATGCACAATGTCATGATACTCAGTGTAATGGCTAACACCAGTGAGATGTCAAATATAAAGAAACCTCCAAGGTGACATAAACAGCATGTCATTAGTGCCGTTACTATGACATAAAGCATTGGTTGTCCTCCGTATATTAAATCAGTGAATGATTTACGATCTTCAGGACTATTGACGATACTGTAGCAATAGGCCAGGATGTAGACTCCAATGGTTATTTCAGATAGACGTTTTAGCTGCAAATTCCGACTGTCTTTCTTCCCTGCGAGGAAACCAAATAACAGGAAGATTCCAGCCACACCTACCATTCGACTTGACATCCTGATCTGTAAAGGGAATCATGTTCAATAAATCATGTGCATATTTAGAGGTAACTATGTTACTTAAGCTCATATGGTTTAGACCTGTTTAATGATATATTGATGAGAGTATAGTGACTATGACATAACTCACCCTTAGCCAATCATTGTATTTCATTGCATTAACTGTGAAGAATGTATATGCAAGATATAACATCTGTCCTGCAAACACAGTGGCTGCTTGATCTCTGCGTAGTCTAAATGTCATCATACAACCCATGACAACCATCATTACCATGTGACCATAGATGAGATTTGGTGAGAGTGGAGGTTCCCTACGAAAAAGGTACAGGTATTGTACAGTTGCATTCGTAAAATTCAGGTCTGCACGACGATTGACAAAGAAGACTGCACATGCTATCTATTGCAAGACTTACGCCTGCCACAACCGTCGCCATGTTAATCAGTGTTTTTAAGTAGCGCAAGGATCCTACCATGAACGTGGTAGTGTTATCGTGTAAGCCTGGTATAACCGTGACATGCTGGTATAACCATGACAACGCTGTATTATATTGCAAGGCCTGTCATGACCCTGGAAGTGTTATCTTGGAAGCCTGGCGCGACCGTAGCCTTTATTGTGGTTTATAAGCGAATGTGAATATTAATGTATAGTAGTAATTTTGATTTTGACATGATTAAGGCAGTTAAACACCATGATCATAGTATTAAACTGTTTAATTGTAATGACGATCACTTAAAATTGTTAAGGATATTCCTGGCATTAATGTCATACATATTTACTAGTCATTGCAATACATTATAACAGTCATAGTAGGACTAAGCCTAAATTTCTACATTACCACCCTCATACCTGGCCTTGCAATACTATATTACATTGTCACGGTCATACCAGGCTTTGCGATCCCATAATACATTGTCACGGTCATGCCAGGTTTTGAGATACACATTGTCACGGTCACTTATAGCAATCATAAATTTCTACATTACCACTCTCATACCTGAACTTGCAATACTACAGTTATATTACATTGTCATGGCCATGCCAGGCCTTGCAGTACTATATTACTTTGCCACGATCATGCCAGGCTTTGCAATACACATTGTCACGGTTATAGAAGTCCTAATCGTAAATTTCTACATTACCACTCTCATACCTGAACTTGCAATACTATATTACATTGTCAAGGTCATGCCAGGCCTTGCAACACTATATTACATTGTCACGGTCATGCCAAGCCTTGCAGAACTATATTACATTGTCACAGTCATGGCAGGCATTGCAATATAATACAGCATTGTCACGGTTATACCAGGCTTTCACGATAACATTACCACGGTCATGGCAGGATCCTTGCGCTTTACTTGAGTCTCTAGCCAATTCTTGGGTAGAAGTGTTTCCATCTGGAACACCGTGAACTATTGTAAAATCTTAAGCCGCCATTCAATGAATTTATGTAATATTCTAAAAATCATTCTGTTAATATTTCATGAATTGAAATGATAACGGCTTATCTTATTGATGAGATATTGAACGTTTCCATTTAAAATAGACGTCGTCTCGTTCTCCATTTTGAAAGCATGCCTTTTTTCCGCTATAGCGATTCAGTCAAGATGGTCGCTTGTTGTAAAAATTTCCTTCAGTTTTATTTTGTGAATAAATATCCTGCGAAGTAGACCAATTTATGAAATAGGACTATGTGTAAAGATCAATGAATCAATGAGTTTATTATGTTTACATCAATAAAAATAAGACGGCTCGGCAATTTAAGGCAAATTCAAAACAACAAAGAGTGTCTTATTTATATTGTATGGCCACACTCAGTGGCCATAGAATATGGTACATATGTACATGTAACTTGCGCTTACTCACTTCGAGAGCCATGTTAGATTTTGAAACTTATGGCTCTCAAACGGAGAAGTGAACAGCTGATCAATAGTGACCTTTGAAATCGAATTAAGTCGATCCGCGGCTTACTTTTGGTCTCTAACTGTGTCTTACATCAGTATCATCAATCCGTGTAAGTATTGGAGCGCTGGAGTACTTCTTTTTCGATCAAGACTTGTAAATTGTTCATCGAGTTAAAGTTTTATAGACCTATTTCCAATATGGCGGTTTGCTAGGTGCGAGATACGCAACGAACGAAATGAATTTTGAGAATTAGTTAGGTTCGGATAGTCAAGTGAACTCGACTTAATGTTGTTGTTTCACGTTTCTTTTTGACGATTTGGATATTTGTTTTTTATTTTTGTTTTCAACATTTGCGACCCTAGTATGCAAGAAAATAACAAAAAATAAATATCCAAATAAATCAAAAAATAATGACAAATAAAGCATACGATGGTCGGATTTATATGACTAGGTTCGGACAACCTCCGGAGATTTACAAAATGTCCGAGCAGAAACCGCCATATTGGAATTTGGCAGTAAAACGATTCACTCGACTAACAATTACAAGTCTTGATCGAAAAAGAAGTACTCCAGCGCTCCAATACTTACACGGATTGATGATACTGATGTAAGACACAGTTAGAGACCAAAAGTAAGCCGCGGATCGACTTAATTCGATTTCAAAGGTCACGATCATTGAGCTGTCCAAATGCTCCGTGGGAAAGCTATTATATCAAAATCCAAATAGCTTTCGCAGGAAGTAAACTTGCGCTACTTAAAAACACTGAATAACATGGTGACGGTTACGCCAGGCGTCAGTCTTGCAACAGATAGGGTCTCGAAGATTGGCAGTATATTTGTAATTAACTATCGTAATGAAAAATGTTTTATTATGCAGTGCCAGAGCAATTTCATCATATCTTTTTCTACTGTGTACAAAATGCATAAAAATCACATGAAAAATGCCACGCCCACATTTGACCCACATTCAAAATTTAGAAATAATTTGTATTTGTGAATTCTGACTAAAATATACGTAGTCTCTGATAATAATATTATGGCCGGTACTTACTTCTCCCTCTCAGCCCTCTCCCCAAGAAGTAATGCGAGTGTGACGACATTGACAAATGGGTAACGGCTGATTAAAAAGATAGAAATGTACCGGAAGAATTTTAACATAGAGGCTGACATTTTGAGATCGTAGAGTAATTGATTTTCAGCAGGTTCTGTTTTTTTTATTTTTACATGGTTTCTAATGATATCTAGAAATACTACATTTATATTATGTATTTTATGATTAGTTGCTTGAAATTAATTGGAATTATTCGAATATAATGCACAATTTATGTTTAGGATAAGAATTATGAAATACAATACGACATGCTCCTAGTCAGCTAAGGAGGAAGAACCAAATTGACCAATAGGTAAACAGTTTCTGTGTCCTTATATTCTTTGTATTATAGTCTATATACATTTACTATGCTGCGTATAGATGGCCAGGTGTGTTCATCAAAATGTATCGTATTGTCATAATACAACGATAAAGGCAGAATATTTCTAATGATCATTGTAATAGTCTTGAATAAAAAATATTTCAATGTTCTTTCAAATCAATAATGACTGTATATACACTACAGAATCTAAGCTTACTTTATATACATGTATTATCTCCTGTGTATGATGAATGCATTGTAGAATGTACATGGCTGAATATTAACTCCAGGGATATTTTAGCTGTTTGTCCAAGTTGGTTGACAACAGCCAGTGACACAGATCGCACAGACTTATCATGGCGTCGCTATTTGACCAATATGAGCAAGCTTCATCAAGAAAGCCGAAGACATTCACTCAACGACAAGCCATGCCAGAACCAGTGAGATTTGCATTTACAAGAATATTATAATAATTATATTATTGCAAGATGGAAATTATGCCTCTTATGGTAGGGTATAGATGAGGGAAGGGTATAGATGAGGGTGGCCCAGTTCAGACAAATTGAACTACAGTTTGGGCCATATATAATTAATTATGGATTTCCTGAAGTGAGGATTTCCTGTGTTAAAGTAAGAAAATTTCCAAGAGACCATACATCAGTGGATGCGATTGTACAGAATGTAAATACACTACACATTCTAGGGGATATGCATCTAGACATAATTGGAAAGTATGGGCTTTTATAACGACCCTATGATAGCAAGTTGCTACTACGGCCCAGCTGTAGTGGCTTAAGCCTTTATAGCTCAGTCGGAAGAGCATCAGACTTCGCATCCAAGGGTCCTAGGTTCGATTCCAATGCGGGGCATTTAATTTAGCACACTTTCTTTCAATTTCTTTATCTGGCTTGTTACACTATGCTCGTTAGTTAGTTATTCCCCTGGGGCACCCTCGGGTCATTACACTTTCAAACCACCATGGTTTGGAAATGGTGATAGAAAATTGACTACTCGTTTATTTATGGCCTAAGCTGTATCAGTGTCTAGGCCATCCTACAGCAAATATGCCATCAGTGTCAGTTGCATATGAAAACTTCATGCTAGTTTCATTTTAAATCTATTTTGTGGCTCTTTTACTGTTAAGCACAGACAATTTCTCTTTAGTCTTTGGTAATTGTATAAGAGTAACTACAGTGTATCTCAAAAAGTGTTACACTTACAAAAAGTTCAATATCTTTCATAATTTTTACTTTTCCCCCAAAATATACTTGGATACTAAAAGACAAATCTTTCGAGAATAATTTGACACCATCAGATTCAAAATCTGTTCTTGATTGGCTCCACAGGACAGCTTTCAGTGTCCCATAGTAAAATCTGACTTGTGCCAACTTCTAAGTGATTGGATGGGCCAAATGACAAAAGAGGAACAGTTTCTTTAACATTTAATTTTCTTCTGAGTAGAAGCTTGACCTTTAAACCTGCACATCGCTCCAAAACGCAATCTTGGGTTGTTTTGGGGGTGAACTTTATCATTTTGAGCTTAATGAAAGATTATAGAATGATGAACAAATTGGGCAAATCTTGTGTAGAAATACTTACGATAAATGTGTCATTTCAAAGATTTTTCATTGAATTGCTTCGATCGGCGCCGACGATATGATTTTGGAAAGGTTTCTAAATGAAGAACTTGACGTCACTTCCGAATCATAGCATTCAAAATAAGTAGCTTTTATAATTACTTCCACCATTCATAATAACACGGTGGTGTAGCTGTAGAATTCTCGCTTAGCACGCGGGAGGCCCGGGTTCGAATCCCAGATTCGCCTTTTTATTTTTTTAACTAAATGATTGTTCTTTGATATTACGCAGAAAAAACAATTTTTATTTACATAAACTTTATATTAGAGCTTAAAAATGTAAAAACAATATATGTCAACATATTGCGTTTTGGAGCGATGTGCAGGTTTAACTGAGTCATTCAGTAATTTTCTATTTGTCTTACATATGATCATTGGGTCTATCCACATAAACATGTGATCCCCTCAACATGTTCTCCAAAGCAAATCTGAGAATCTGAGGTACCTTTGCCCATGCGAGCATGCATTGTAATATTGCACTGGTTCCATCAATTATTTTTGTAGAAGTTTATTTAGGTCAGTTTGTGATGCTGTAAAGCCTTTCAGAGGCCCTTCAAAATCAAGGGTGTAAAGTGGGATGACCCTAGGGGGCCAATCAATTGGGTAATTCAAATCCCAAACGATCTGCCACAGGCCTTTTGGACCATCCTGTTGCCATCATAAGTAACGAAATTGAACCCTCGGACAATGAAATGTTGTATTTCTATCCAGGAAAGAACAACTGGATCATTGATCATATCAAGATATCACTGTCCACCACATTCATACCAAAAAAGAATTGATCACTACATGTCCAACCACTGAGAAGTTGGCGCAAATCAGTTTTCACATGCGTCTATAAAATCTGTCCTGTGCAGCCAATCATGGATGGATTTTGAATCTGATGGTGTGGATTTATTTGAGAAAGACGGGTCTTTTGGTATCTAAGTATATTTTAGGTGAAAAGTCAAAATCATAAAAGATATTGATCTTTTTGTGAGTGTAACATTTTTTTGAGACACAATGTAGAATAGAACATATGCAAACAAGAGATGTACATGTAACTTCAACAATTGATTCTGGCATAGTGTTTTCCCAAACTAATTTGAATCAATTTACCAACAATGTATAGTGTTCAGGCCAGTAGCCAGGATTTGCCAAGGGGGTTCACTTTTTGAAAAATTCCAGGGGGGTTCACTTGGTCCAAAAATGGCCAAAATCACTCAAGTGCTCAGAATGGTGAAAACTGCATGATTTTGAAAGATTTTTTGGCCAGGGGGGGGGGGGGGGTTGCCCATCGAACCCTCCCCCCTGGCTACGGGCCTGGTGTTACAATTTTTAACAATATTGTCAATATTTTCAGATTGCCACTGGATTTATAAATGCAAGGCTTGAAGATGATACGCCAGTGTTCAATAAACAGAGGATTAACTTTAAGTGAGTGGTTTGATTTGATTCACTTTTCACCAAAGATCAACTTCAAATACTCTCTTAATTTTTGAATTATTAGGATACTACATTCCTGCTTAGCTTTTTTCATGAATTTCGTTGATTTAAAGAAATAATCAAAATCATAGGAGATTGCTGGGGGGGAGGGGTTAAATACCCCTAATGAATAATTCTCAATCCCCTTGTAAGCAGATAATGGAAAAATGAAAAAATTATTTTTTCAGTCCACCTGACCCAATCACTCACTTGTGTGTGTGTAACAACTTCCTGGTTATGGCCATGTCCACCAATATATTACTACGCATAGACTTGGAACATCCAGATACTCCTGATGGTGAGTACTTTAAATATAATAAATGCATTAAATATGTTACATTAAGTATGGCCTAATCTATTTATGCAACAAATATGATAAAAACAAGATCCTCCTTCTTGAAAGAACATCTGAGGTTGTTAAAAATTTGTTGAAGTAGGGTCCTGATCCATGTCAGATTAATAGTTTTATTATCCTGGGGACCTGTCATTTGGAGGAAATCCTATTATTTTGAAGAGAAATGTTGTATTTATGGTAAGTAAATACTAATGGTCAAAAATATGATTGTCTAAAATCATTTTACATACTATGCCCATTTTAGCTAATTGAAAGAGCTTTGAAAATGTTTGAAGATGGTCCTCATTTCAAAGGTTTTTAAATTTTGTTGTCAAGAATCAGTAATTTGTTTTGATCAAATAAGAATTCAAAGATACAATGGTTTTGAAACATTTGAACAACATCAAATTTTGGAAACCAAAATTAGGTAGAAAACAATGGATAGCATTCTGTTATCAACTTCATCCCATTTAAAGATGTATTATACCATAGGTTTCTCCCCCAGACAATCAACGATGTCCTATTGTTATCGCTCATATAATATCTCACATACCATGGATATATCTTGAGAATAACTTTTCGGTATATTATTGCCGAAATATTGAAATAATCAACAGAACAACCAACCTCCAGTTAAACACAATCCCCACTGAGTCACACAAGCGCCCACAAGCGCCTTGAACCAGGCAGCCAATCAGGTTCATGATAAACAAATTCAACGACAAATCAGGTAACAGGAGGACTTTCCCGGTATATTAAAACTTCAGGTTGAATTAATTTCTGAGAAAATGATTAGATCGGCCAGCACAATCTCAAAATTAGCACTGAAAAAGGGTGATTTGGGACTTATTCTTTGGTAAGTAGATGGGTGAATATTAGTCTATATGTGGTGAAACTCAATATGCAAAAAAGTCCAAAGGGGTCTTGATTGTGCTATCCTATGGCATAGAGCCTCTTTAAATGATGCTTCCATTTTAGAAGTTATTGACATACAGTAGTTATAGAAAACTTTAGAAATTTAGAGTCAAGATTAAAAATCATTGAAGCACAGATGAAAAATATTAGTATTATTGTTAAGAGACAATTTTTTCAACAGGATTGAACTCTAATACAAGAATGAAAAAACTTTTTTTGGAAGCAATTTTGTTTATTTCACATCAACAAATGTACATAGAGTATTGATAAAGCTATTGTGCATTGTTCATTTAAGTGTTTGTTTGATTGTTGGTTTCTTGTTTGTTTCTGGTCTTTGTTTCTTGCTTGTTTAGTCTTCATTTTTGTTTTTCTTCTTCCTTTCTTTCCTTTGTTTGGCTATGAACTGTGGCTGTTTACCTGAAAAAAAAACAACAACAAATAAGTTGTTCGTCAACCTCATGGAAAGACTTAATCTATAAAAAATGTCATTAAATACAAATACATAATAGAGATCTATTATACTCAAAAAACAATAAGATGAACCTAAGCATGCAATGAATGATTGATTCATAAACAGATGACAGTTGAGATTTTGTGAACTCTTAACTAATCTTGAAATCATTACAAATGTGGAGAAAATAAGATTGAAATTAACATAATATATGTTGCAATCATGTCCATACCACTATCCAGTAATCTGTCCTCAAATACAAATGGACAATCTTCAAACTCTTCTTCGCTGAGTGCATTGTCCCCTGAAATAAAATTTACATATTCGATTAAAATCAATAGACCTTGGTGGATGTATTATTTTTACACATAGTGTATTCATTCAAATAAATGTGCAATGCGTTTCCAAAATTCTTCTGGAGGAGATGTCTCAAATTACAAAATTATTGGGGATTTTCAATGGTTCATAAATGGGCGATAATAGGATACTCCATGATTTTCCACTTAAAAACTGGACTCACTCCAACTTGATAACATAATATCATACCTTAATGTTTTCTTCATGCATTTTGCAAAATGGCAGCTGAATTTCAAAATGGCTGCCATTTTTCGTAAAAAACATAATTTTTGATAACTCAAATACCTGTTTATTTGGCAAATCTGGTTCAAATTTTATATTTTGATACTCTGTTCAAGAAGAAATCTTCAAAGTGGCTGCTATTGATCAATATATTTTTGTTTGGCAGTATTTGGTACTCCTTGGAGTTCCTGTTTTCTAGTTGTAGTAATTAATAACTTACCATCTCTATCACACCCATCAATTACATTTTTTTGGGTGTCTTTCCAGTTCATGTTGAATGTTTTTGCCAATTCTTTAGCATCAATACGGTCATCTTCATTGACATCGAAGATATCAAATGATACAGGCATGGGGCACAAATGTTTCTCATCATCACCCTAGAATCAATTGAAGTAATTTTAAATAGGAATAAACAAGTTTTAAATATCTTTGAAACCGCAAACAAAGATTAACACAATAATTTTTTTATTTAGTTTGGAATCCCCATTTCTTCACCTTCTATTATAGATACTATATTTCTTTGAAATCTAAACACTTTATTTTCTGCTTATAAGTATTTGATTTCAAATTCGAACTCCCATAAAAAGAAACAAAAGTTAAATTTGGATAATATATTAAGGTCAGAATCAAAACTATAAAATCATATGTAATATTCTGAGATTAGTTTGACTTGCTGATTAATATGTAAGCTTGTATTTGGGGAATGCAAAAAGCAGCTGTCGGCTAGCGGATTAACCTAGAATTTTATGACCAACAAGTTTAAATATGAATGGAATAGTCAGTTGCCCATAAAATAGTAGGTTAATCCGGTAGCCAAAGCCGTTAGTTGCATTCACAAATACAAGCTAAGATTAATGCAGATTTAGTTGTATTCTTACATCATCAACATCTCTCAACTCAAGTTGGATTGAGTCAAGGTCTCGTTTGCTGCATACTCTCCTATTGATCCAACTACATACGCCATTCCTTTCACACACCCTTGATACTACATTGCTACAGAATACTGACTTCACCCTAGCAACCACACGTCTGAACCAACCCCTTGCTTCTGCTTCTGGGAGAACCAGTGCAGAGATCAGCATTAATGTTAGTAAACCAGTGAACACCTTCATTTTTATGGAATTTTATATTCTGAAATCAAGTAAATGCAGTTAAGCCAACTATACAAAAAAGCCATTCTTGTGACATATATTATAATTTCTGTAATATATATACAGTATATAAAGGGCAATAAGTATTGTATACATGTATTGTATACAAACATACATGGAGGGTATTATCTAAGATACTTTCTTTTCACTGCAGCAAGATAAAAATAAATGTTATAAGATAAAGTACCAATAATCCAGATGCAAGTAGTTGTTACCAGTTTCACCATTAGGTGGCTAATTTGGCTCAGATAACATAGCATATATATTAGAAAGTTCCCTTAAACTTGAGTATTCATCAGTTTATAGTGGATCGATTTTCATATTTCCCTTATGTATCTGATAGATGATCAAATGAAAATATGTCCAGTAAAACAAAATATCATCTGTCCAATAAAAGAAAGGCTATTTCACTTTTTGTGATTTTATGGGGCATCTCCACAAGCTAGAAGTCACATTTTCAAAGAAAATTAAATTCTCAGTGTTGATATAATAAACCAATCCCTTCGATTTTCTTACCGGTGATCACTCCGAAATCAAGAAATGTGGATTTAAAAACTGTACAGTTTTTAAATCCACATTTCTTGATACAATTTTACATGTAGATTTCAAATGATATCACTTTGACCGAATTTTGAATATTTAATGATGTAAATCAAAATTGTTTCTACTTTCATCTAGTCTATTCAAATTGGTAATTAATATAATACAATTCTGATATTGAAACAATTTTTAATGTTATGTTTTCATTATCTGCAAATTATTCTTTTATTGCAAATAAACTATGTGTAAACAGTAATGTTAATCAAATAATGTTTGATAGTTAAATTACAATCATAAACTAGTATAATATAGTAGTAGTAGTAGTATTTTTATTTATTTATGTCTCACTCACTAAAACAGATACTGTATACATAATATCACGTTAAAACAATACAAAAAAACAATTAAACAGTGCCTGGCCGATGCCGACCTATGAGAGACAGTGGAGTGTTACATTATGCTACGCCGTTTGGCTTGCATTTTTATAATTGTTTTACCAAGTGTTCTTTGAACAGTCTTCATTCATTATCAAACAGTATTTCACTAAATTTGTTTGCATATCAAAGTCATTATAATTTAACATTTTGGAAAACAGACTAGATCGTTCATTTATATATAATTTGCACTCAACTATACATGTATATATAGTTATAGTATATATTATTACCACCTTGCCAGTTGAGAAGGCATTTAAATTGCTATATTGATGTGAGCAATATTGTGTCGGGTGTTAATGACTTTAGTCGGGCAATAATGACATTATCCGCCCGGCTATGTTTCCCGGGAAAAGTGATTTCGTTCAGTGCGTAAGATTTTCTATTTCAAATTTGCTATTTCAGCCCCGGGCATTAACGGTGGTAATAATAGTAATAACATCATTTCTGTGGGCAAAATAGTGAAATATTGGACCTTGGGCCTGCGGCCCTTGGTCCAATATTTCACTATATTGCCCTTTGAAATGACGTTATTGTACTATTACTTTTTATTATTTTATTTTATTGACAATGACAACATATCATGATATGATTATATTAATCTCAACCTTTCATGGAAAGACAAGCATTAATTATGGAAAGACAAGCATTAATTAAATTAATCCTGCATGGTTGAAAATAAATGAATAAAATACTCCTTACCTTATTCTAACTTCCCTGATAGGATAGCAGTGATTTCGCTGTATAAAACGTTAGTGAAGATGCCTCGAACCTCATAGCTTATATACATTTTGAAAACAATAGAAAATAGAATTTGAAATGGCGATGTCATGTTTTTGATCTTTCCATGTAGTTCACCTGTGTTCACAAAGTGGGTAGCTGAAATGTCAGCTGTGGGGTACGTCCACACGATTTCATTCAAAGAAGAAAGCTGAGCATATTTCAATAGATGATTAACATTGTTATTCTTTTCAAACCATTATGATGACATTTAATGTGTCATTCATGAACATTCAATCGTGTTGAAATAAAGTTAAAACAATGCTTTAATGCCTTTTGTCCATGCTTTGTTCAGTTGAAACTATAGAACCATTCAGTCTGCGGAAATCATGTATATCAAAAACGTGACGGTCAGCATAATGCCATCCTGGAGCATAAAAATGTATGCATTCATTCAGTATTTGACATCTGTTAATTAGCAATAACAACTCAAAAGAATATGAAAATCATACATGCTATGTTGCACATAATGCATTTAAAGCTTTCATTCCACAGTAAAATTTATAAATTCCAATAAACTCCATTGAGATTATGAAGATCTTATCAGCATCAAAATTGTAAAATCATCTGTTTTTACCTCTTGAGTCCCAGGCTCCAAAATCAATAGCAACCAGAGAATTTTCCATTTTTGCCAAATTTTGACATTTTGCTACATACGTACAACAGTTGATGCTTAATCTAGTGAAATTAGTTGTGTCATTTCTACACATTTTAAAAAGATGTTTGTGTAAGTTGGATGAAATTTGCTCAAATTAGAGTCATTTTAGTTTAAAAAAATTTACAGATTATCTCGTCACACTGAGTTTCAAGGTAATTTCTTAGGTGACAAGAAATCTCGTCACTCTGGGAAGTCAAGAGATTAAACATTTATTGTGGTTTTAGTCAATGAAGATTCTTGATACATTCTCATAACAAATATAAGGCTGTTACAATAAAAATTTATCACACATTTAAGTATTAATCAAATCTGTGTGCCATTGTATAATATATATATGTATGTATAATTTATCACATAGTTTGCCATATTATTATGTCACCACAAAAAAGTGGTGACATATTGTTATGGTCTCCGTTTTTTTGCGACGGCGGTTGGTGGTTGGCGTCCGGCGTCTGGCGTCCGGCGTCTGGCGTCCGGTGTCTGTAACAATTTCTTACAACTTCCTATAACTTAACAAATACTGTTTAGACTGACTTCAATTTTTTTCTAAATCATCTACATCTTCTCAGAAGTTCAAATCTGACTTTAGATTTGACATTTGACCTTCAATGACCTTCTCAAGGTCAAAAAGGTCTTTTTTCAACTTGCTTCACATTGACTAAATTTTTTTTCAAAATCATCTACATGTTCTCAGAAATTCAAATCTGACTTTAGATTTGACATTTGACCTTCAAATCTGACTTTAGATTTGACATTTGACCTTCAATGACCTTCTCAAGGTCAAAAAAGGTCAAAAAGGTCTGTTTTCAACTTGCTTCAAATTGACTAAATTTTTTTTTCAAAATCATCTACGTGTTCTCAGAAATTCAAATCTGACTTAAGATTTGACATTTGACCTTCAATGACCTTCTCAAGGTCAAAAAGGTCTTTTTTCAACTTGCTTCACATTGACTAAATCTTTTTTCAAAATCATCTACATGTTCTCAGAAATTCAAATCTGACTTTAGATTTGACATTTGACTTTCAAATCTGACTTTAGATTTGACATTTGACCTTCAATGACCTTCTCAAGGTCAAAAAAGGTCAAAAAGGTCTGTTTTCAACTTGCTTCAAATTGACTAAAATTTTTTTTCAAAATCATCTACGTGTTCTCAGAAATTCAAATCTGACTTAAGATTTGACATTTGACCTTCAAATCTGACCTTCTCAAGGTCAAAAAAGGTCAAAAGGTCTGTTTTCAACTTGCTTCAAATTGACTAAAAAAAAATTTCAAAATCATCTACGTGTTCTCAGAAATTCAAATCTGACTTTAGATTTGACTTAAGATTTGACATTTGACCTTCAGTGACCTTCTCAAAGTCAAAAAAGGTCAAAAAGGTCTTTTTTCAACTTGCTTCAAATTGACTAAATTTTTTTTTCAAAATCATCTACATGTTCTCAGAAATTCAAATCTGACTTTAGATTTGACTTAAGATTTGACATTTGACCTTCAATGACCTTCTCAAAGTCCAAAAAGGTCAAAAAGGTCTTTTTTCAACTTGCTTCAAATTGACTAAATTTTTTTTTCAAAATATACATGTTCTCAGAAATTCAAATCTGACTTTAGATTTGACATTTGACCTTCAATGACCTTCTCAATGTCAAAAAAGGTCAAAAAGGTATTTTTTCATCTTGCTTCAAATTGACTAAAATTTTTTTTCAAAATCATCTACATGTTCTCAGAAATTTAAATATGACTTTAGATTTTACTTTAGATTTGACATTTGACCTTCTCAAGGTCAAAAAAGGTCAAAAGGGTCTTTTTTCAACTTGCTTCAAATTGACTAATTCTTTTTTTCAAAATCATCTACATGTTCTCAGAAATTCAAATCTGACTTTAGATTTGACATTTGACCTTTAATGACCTTCTCAAGGTCAAAAAAGGTCAAAAAGGTCTGTTTTCAACTTGCTTCAAATTGACCAAATTTTTTTTTCAAAATCATCTACATCTTTTCAGAAGTTCAAATTTGACTTTACAAGTTCTCAGAAGTTCAAATCTGACTTTAGATTTGACCTTTGACCTTCAATGACCTTCTCAAGGTCAAAAAGGTCTTTTTTCAACTTGCTTCAAATTGACTAATTTTTTTTTCAAAATCATCTACATGTTCTCAGAAGTTCTTCTTAAGGTCAAAAGGTATTTTCCAACTTGCTTTAAATTGACCAAATTGTTTTAGGTGGTGACATTTTGTCATGTTAATGCCTTGTATATTTTACAATGATGGTTATGATTTGTTTATGTTTTGCAGAGGTGGAGCTACCCAGAACTGCTAATGATAAAGTTTATTCTATGTTTCTTGATCCTACTGGCCACCACCTGATTATCTCCATGAACTCTCAAGAAAATTATTATCTTCCAAAAAGTTCGAAAAAAGCTCGTCAGCTCAGCAAAATGAAGGTAATCCATCAAAAATCTGAATTTATTGCATTTTTCGAAGGGGCTTTTTAAACATTTTTGTGAGCAGGATGAAGGGGGTTCCAATAAGAACATGATGAATTAAGCCTTTTCAGAAAGCCTTTTCAGAAAAATTTGATATATTTGACATATAGAGAGATCAGAAAATGAAATATAATGAATAAAGAAACAAACTTGTGAATAAGCTTTCAAACATAAAGTTGTGTATATTGTCCTGTACATTATATTAATTTTACTTTATTAATTAGTACTATGTTCTGTTAATTACCTTGCACAAATTTATATTTTATAGCAACACTGATCTTGTTTGAATATAATAACATTCGATCTCTATTTATATCTTTTTAGGGGCATCTGATTGATTCAATAGGCTGGAATAGACAGAACACAAACAACACATCCACCAGTGCAATACTCTTAGGAACCAGTCGAGGTATGGCATTCTGTATGACCTCCCCATTATACAAGATTTTAGAATTACATGTACAGTAAAACCTGTACATCCAAACACATCTCTAATCAGAACAGCTCTCAATGTGAATGCTTTTCTCGGTCCCTTTTTCATAATATGACATGTACTTCCATGTTATAAGGAATCTCTGTTTGGCCAGTCCTAGTTGTTGGATTCTAATTAGACAGGCTTTTATTGTGAAAATCTACATCTGAACACTATGAGGCATAAATATCTGTGTATTGTAAACACAATCAATTTCCTTTGTTCAAAGGAAAATGTGACAAATAGTAACTACTCTTCTATTAATCCTAAAGAATTCTTTGGTTAACCCAGCCAAATTCTCTGTACATGTATTTGCAATTGTAAACATGATCATACTGTCTGTGTGCATTCTAGGGTTGATATTTGAGGCAGAGATTGTCTCGGGAGAAGAGAGGGGATTCTTCCAAGGCAGTTTAGAACAATACTGTAAACAGCTGTTCTCGCTAAGTCGTGACAAAACTGAACCAGTTACAGGATTAGAGTTTGAAAAAATGACGTCTTCTCTGAATGAGTACAAATATTTCATCATAGCGACTACGCCTGGGTAAAGTTTTGATGTATTTGAACTTTAAAAATAATGTTATGCATATTGTTTTATTTTCTTATGTTTTATTTTGTAGCTTGTCTTGTTTGAGAGCCTTTATTTAAAGGCGTTCATTCAGGAAGCAAATTTTCATATTAAGTCTTAATAATCAGCCATTATTAAAAGTTCAGTGATGATATCTAGTGCTTATGTCTCATTCTATTCAATTAATTTAAACATTTAGATACCTATAATTCCTACATAGATATTTATTTGCTATCAAAAGTAATTTAGTATTTGACATGTTTGATAAGAGTACATTATTATGAAAAACCTATATTGATTAATCAGTGAAAACTAATACAATGTACATTCTAAAATTAATTCTGTTTCAAATCAATATTTGCAGACGGCTTTACCAATTTATTGGCACTATTCCAAGTAGCACAGAGCCACCTATGTTTACTCATGTATTCCAAGATTATGAAGATGTACCAGAAAGATTCCTTGAACTCCCAGGCAACTTTGGTTACAGTAAATTGTTAATGTACCATGCAAAGTTTAGGGAACAACCCAGATCATTTGCCTGGATGACAGGTGAGTTTTAGAGGTTGGCCTTGATATTTTCATGAGAGGGAAACTCAATACAATTTCTGACTTGGAATAATAATTGATTAACTGATGATGCATGGTGTATTTTGTATAGCTCAAACCTGACAAAATTGCAAACAGCTTATACCTATGTAATCGACCAACTAATTATATATTTTATTCCTCTAATGATTTAGGATATATAGTATTTTAACTTATACTTATTTATTTATTTGCGCTATTATTATATTCAATTTATATTTAATCAAGCAGTATATATACCTATATAAGGTGTCCTCTGTAAATAATTTGTATTTTGATTTATTGTTATATGAAGGAAATAAGAAATAAATAAAATAAAAAATAAAAAATATATAAGAATTATAATCTTCCATAAAATCATTGATATGTTATTAAAAAAGTGAAGTTGTAATGTGTAAAAGCTCATTACAGTTTTAGATCTCATACATTTCCTATAAATCAAATAGTGATTTAATAATGTAACAAAATTGTTTTTCTGACTGTTTCCAGGTCCTGGTGTGTACCATGGCAGCATTGATTATACTGGAGCCAGTGGCCAGGATTCTGTTACTGTGGAAACCAAGTTGATGCCATACCCCAATGATGAGGGTGATAGACCAGTGCCACCTATGTCCATTGTACTGACTGAATTCCATGTTTTAATACTTTTCCCTGATAAATTGAAGGCCATGTGTGTATTGAATGACCAGCTTATATATGATGATACTTTCACAGATGTAAGTGTTTAGCTTCAGTGTACGCTTTATTTAAAAAATATTTGGAACCATTGAAAACATATTCACAAAATACTAAATGCTTCACTGGTCGTCAGCATTAAGCAAGCCAACATAATGGTGACGATTGTCTAAAATGTGTGCTATTGATTTCAATTAAATTTGTACTAACTTGCCAAAAACATCAGATCGACCATATATCCTCTCTCTTGGATTTTTCCCTTCATAGAGGAAATAATTTGACTGTGGCTCGGGTTTTCAAATGCTTTTCCTTTTCAAAATGTTTAACTGAAGATTTCTGTAATATATGTCTCTTATCTGCTTGTATTTGTAGAGGTTTGGCAAGCTCCTAGGTCTGTGTAAAGACCCCCTGAAAGGCACTATATGGGCATATACCAACCAAGCAGTATTCAAGTATAAGGTTATTAGAGAATCAAGGTAGGTGCATAATTATTGATTACTAAACTTGTGTTTCATTTAATAAATACAACTTGCACATAATACTTTATGTTTCCCATAAATGTACCCCACCATGCTTGCCTCTGGATTAGAAATTGGAGGCTAAAAGTAGTCTATTAACAAAGTTTGAATTGTGTAATTACAGAGACGTCTGGCAAATGTATCTTGATGTAGAGAATTTTGAGGCAGCCAAGAACTATTGCAAGGTATTGTATTGTATACTATATGAAATCTGGTATCCTGATGTTTGATATTTTTTAGCATAATGGTGATATTATAGATATTCATGACAGCAAGATTCTTGATATAAACATCATAAAATGCTGGACCCTAAGACTTTAGTAACTAGACCCTAATAATGGGAATTTAGGCAAATATTTGTCAGAAGTTGATAAATACTTGAAGTATATACTGTACAAGTGTTATACATTAAATATGAAAACAAGTTCTTTTAGTTAATTTTTTGTTTCACAAAGAATCTCAAATTAAACTGGATGTTTCAAGTCATGAGACATGTTTACATAAAAATATTGTGTCATAAATTATCCAAACTTTTTTATGTATTTTAGGATAACCCAGCAAACATGGACAGAGTCCTTACAAAAGAAGCAGAATACAACTTCAAAAATAAAAAGTAAGATTATCTTTGTTTATTTTCAAGTTGATAGAGTAATAAATTGCACAATTTTTTTTGATAGAAATGATGTTTAAAAGAGATTCATTTTTCATCTAGTCTTTGATATCAGCTGTGCTAATAAATTTGTTAGGATGTGTCCAAAAATGACAGTTTTGAGAAATATGAAGCTAATCTTATTATGGCTTAAACCCCTGTATAACCTCTTCATTCCATAACTGACAACTGATGACGTTTAAACAGAATCTCTTACACAATTAAACACTTTACTTGTAGTTTTGGTAAGAGTGCCTTGCTGTATGCTCAGACACAGAATAGCTTTGAGGAGATTGCCCTGAAGTTTATCCAAGTTGATGAGAAAAATGCCCTGAAATCATTCCTCATAAAGAAACTGTCTGGCTTACGACCTCAAGTGAGTTAACACTGGGATACACAACCTCTTGTGACCTGGGTCACTTTAGATTCTTTTTTCGTGAAAATAATTCATGATATAAGATAATGCAGATTATGAAATAAGATTGTTACACCTTAAAGATGGAAATATTTATTACTGATTCAATTTGATTGATTGATCAAGTCTGAGTAAACACACTCTGGAGTAAACATAAGCCGATGAAAATATTGGCAATATTGTGGAGATATTTCTATAAAATTATGAATTGATCAAATGGCCATTTACTCATTATGTCATGTTTTAGGATAAGACTCAAATGACAATGATAGTAACATGGTTAGTAGAAATATATCTCAACCAGCTAGGGATCCTAAAGGAGCAAGAGAAACAGCAGGACATATCTGAGAACTACCAGGACCTGCAAGATGAATTCCAAAAATTCCTCGCTCAAACTAAAGTTAAGGTAAGGGCCAGCTGCTTGACATTTTTCTTTTATTTGTAATTTTGGTTTATTTGGGTTTCTTAGGAAGTAGTTTTTATTGTTACACATTTTTTAAATTTTTTCTAATTAGCTAAAAATAGAATAGTACATCTGATCAATACCATGGTGATTACTTTGGTTGCTTACCTTCATGTACCACTAACAATAACTATCTTACCATTTCTTGATCTCACCTTAGTTGGGGGATAATTCATGGGTGGTAAATGGGGGAGGGAAGGCGGGCGAGATTCACTCAGATAACAACCTGCTTTCTCCTTGTATCAAGAAATGAATGGAAAATGGCGTTCTTCTGCGCATGTGCGTTGACCTACATTCAACTCTACTTCCTAGTAACCGATTTGTTTACATCAAATTCTGACAATCGCAACAACAATTAACTACTCCCATAAAACACACATAAAACCAATTAATTTTCAATTAATTGACATTTGTTGATTCATTGAATGTTTAGCCACTTTGGGAACCTTTCATTCTTAACAGGACAATTCTCATTCCATTGTTTCTCTCTTTACAGGCTTAAATTAATTGACATTTGTTTGCTGTCATACCAATTGATTGACATTTCTTCCTTGTACAATAGAACCAATTCATGAATTTCTGTCTTGACATTACAATTCATTAAATTTGTTCTCTTTTTTCAAATTTGTTCTCTTGTCAAGCAAGTTTATTGACATTATAATAAGTTGATATTTTCCTAACAAATTTGTTTAGAATAAATGGAAAAAGCATTTATGTTTATACACACTTTCCACCAATGCGTTATTGGCCACTTATCATTTGCTCTTTTTTATTTTATCATTATATAGGAATGTGTAGATGGCAATAGGAACACAATATATGATTTGATAGCAAGCCATGGGGATGTGGAGGATATGGTCTACTTTGCCGTCCTTATGAAAGGTAATCTTCATTAACTGGCCAGATTCGGTTCAATTATCCACGTCACAAAGATGAAAGTATTGTACCAAAGTTTATTGATGGTGCAAATTACAGATCATTATCTAATGAAATTCAAACATTGTAGGTCATTTAAGTAAAAAAGTCCCATTTTGCAAGCTTTCCCATCAACCAATTTTTTGATTTGTTTTAGATTTTGAGCGAGTGATAGGCCACCATTTGCAACATGAGCAATATGATAAAGCACTGGAGGTCCTGGTCAAACAGGTATGGAAACTATTCAAACTAATGAAAATACCAAATTAAAATAAGCTGTAATTATTTTCACCATAGTGGCTTAAAACAGAGTACCCTAAGGTCGATACTATTATTGGAGACCCTTGTTGCATCAGTAGAGTGACTTCATCGTGTCAATTCAGTTATTAAAATATATTCCATTCCAGCCTGACAAGGAGCTTCTCTACAAGTTCTCACCTCTCTTGATGCAGAATATTCCAGAACTTACAGTAGATGCATGGATCAATACAGGACGTAATTTAGACCCTAAACGCCTCATTCCAGCTCTAGTCCAATATGACCACCTTAAATACAAAACACAGGTAGGTCTATGTACATGAATACAGGACGTAATCTAGACCCCAAACGCCTCATTCCAGCTCTAGTTCAATATGACCACCTTAAATACAAAACACAGGTAGGTCTATGTACATGAATACAGGACGTAGTCTAGACCCCAAACGCCTCATTCCAGCTCTAGTTCAATATGACCACCTTAAATACAAAACACAGGTAGGTCTATGTACATGAATACAGGACGTAATCTAGACCCCAAACGCCTCATTCCAGCTCTAGTTCAATATGACCACCTTAAATACAAAACACAGGTAGGTCTATTTACATGAATCACCTTAAATACAAAACACAGGTAGGTCTATGTACATGAATACAGGACGTAATCTAGACCCCAAACGCCTCATTCCAGCTCTAGTCCAATATGACCACCTTAAATACAAAACACAGGTAGGTCTATGTACATGAATACAGGACGTAATCCAGACAACATCAGAATACTGATTAAATGGTTATTGTTATTTCATTAATATGTGACTTTAGTTGCTAATTTGCAAATAATTAATTTCTTTCACTACTTCTAGTGTCACATTGCAGTGTTTCCATAGGATTTTTTGTCAAGTGTGTGCAAAATTCTCATTTTCACTATTTGGACTAAAATTGGTCAAAATATACCAATGTTTCATGATTTCTCTCATTTTCAAGTGGGTGCAAATGGATTTTCAGGTGGGTGCAAGTCTGTTTTTAAAATCTCACATGGGTGCTGCGCCCACTTGCTTTTATGCTGGGGAGATAACTGCATTGTTAAAGACATGAATTGTAATAATTTAAAGAGACAGAATACTTGACCCACCTTAATTAGAATATTCATTCTGCTTGGTCTACTTTAAATGCTTTAATCTAAGATGGACTAAATTCTCATGAAGCAAAATAAATTCAATCTTAAAAACCTAATGAATTATAAAATATGCTTCTTGACTATGTATTTGTAGGGCAATGCAGCAATAAGGTACCTTGAGTGTTTCTTGACTATGTATTTGCAGGGCAGTGCAGCAATAAGGTACCTTGAGTGTTTCTTGACTATGTATTTGTAGGGCAATGCAGCAATAAGGTACCTTGAGTGTTTCTTGACTATGTATTTGCAGGGCAATGCAGCAATAAGGTACCTTGAGTGTTTCTTGACTATGTATTTGTAGGGCAATGCAGCAATAAGGTACCTTGAGTGTTTCTTGACTATGTATTTGTAGGACAATACAGCAATAAGGTACCCTGAGTGTTTCTTGACTATGTATTTGCAGGGCAGTGCAGCAATAAGGTACCTTGAGTGTTTCTTGACTATGTATTTGTAGGGCAATGCAGCAATAAGGTACCTTGAATTCTGTGTACAGACCCTTGACTGCCAGGAACAGTCAATCCACAACTATTTACTCTCTCTGTATGCTAAACTTAAACCAGAACAACTTATGACCTATTTGAACTTTCAAGGACAGGTTAGTTTTAGCTTTGTTTACTTTTTCATTTTATCCAATTTATTAACACCTATATGATACACTCCTCAAAATAAATTGCTCAGAGATGTCATCATTAGTATATTGAACATCAGAATTGCCACTTAAAAGTTCTTTAATTAAAACATCTTCATCCCCATTAAGAAGTGAAGTAGATGTTATTACATCAAGTGCATTTGTGATTTCATTCAACAGGTCATCTCTCACATTGGATACACATGGACAGTCTGGCAAAATATATTTGATGACATGTCTATATTCACAATTACATGCTCCATTTTATGTTCCTCGATCAAGGATAGTTGAAGCAAGACTAAGTGTGCTATTGACCACAGATTTTCTGGATATTTCTTGCTTAATGTGTAATGGGATTTAATTTGGGATGGATATTGGAGATACAACTTGACTAGAAATTCAAATTTCGACTTTCTGATTTGTTTTTATTCCAGGAGTCTGACAGTGTGTGTTATGATCTAAAGTATGCCCTAAGACTATGCGCTGAACACAAACATCAGAGGGCATGTGTACATATCTACTCAACTATGGGGCTGTATGAAGAGGCTGTGGACCTAGCTCTAAAGGTACTTTCTGATTTTGAAAATAATCAATTGTTTAACTTCAAAAATCACGGAAATGGGTGCAGACATCAATCAGAATTGAAATTTTTTGTTACGCATCAATGAAACTTCTTTGAAAATAGCCCCAATATGTCACCAATATTGACCTGACATATCTTGTCTTTAGGTGTCTAATTACCAAATAAGTTGATGTCAAAAACCCAATTTTGAGTTACATATTGCACCATTTGACCCAGTCGTAGTTTATATTGACTAAGCTGTTGGGGTATTTTTAGGAGGTTCAATCAAAGTTAAGTTCAACATCTGATTCTTCACTTTACCATACATTTACTGTTAACAGAAATATTGTTATTTTATTCTAAACATACTTTTTATTATGTGACTACAAGATGTTACATATTGTTATGGTCTCAAACTTTTTTGTGGACGGTGTTCAGTGGTTTGGCATTTGGTGGTTGATTTAACAGAGGTGGTATCTGTAACAAATGGCAGGTGGTGACAATTTGCATCTTATGCCTTGCTAATTTTTGTTCTATATCTGATTTAACAGGGATAAATCCTGGACTCAGTGCATTGTATGCTGAATCATTCCATTGAAGGTGTTGTTTTCAAATCTTTGCAATGCTGCGCAGCAAGAATGCAAAGTTTAGGACCCACCTGGGTGGAAAGAAGCAGCCACAATACATTGATTCTTGGGCTTAAATGCTTTTCACTCATTGCAAAATATTTTCAACATAATCTCTAAAAGAACATATTTTCAATGAAACCTTTTGGAAGGGTCAAGTTGGCAAAGTATCAATTTCAATCTGTGAGTCCATTAACACCTTGGCACTCATACAACAAATGCCTTATTGAAATGCGTAAAACAGTGTGTTCTGATTGGACTTAAATTGGACACACCTTGTGAATTTACTTTATATAACATGTACTTGTTTATTTGGCACTGTTATTTTGCCTGATAATGGCAAAATAAGCTTCACAGATTTAATACTTGACTCTGAAGATATCTCCAACTCTATTACCCACCAATAAGTACCCATCATTAGTGACTGCAACACTGCATGGGCACTGTAACCCTTCTCTACTGGAAAGTAAGATTTTCTGGAATGTTCCATCTTGTGAAAGAAGTTGTACATTATCTTTCTTTGTGTCTGCAACTATGATGTTGTTATTCTTGTCCACACATATACCAGCTGGTGATGACAGCATATTTACACCCTCGCCAGTATACTGTAATATCTGAACTCCCCTGCTATTGTACCCAGTAACACTCTTCTTTTCCATAGAACTCACTATGAGATCATTGTTTTGGTTGACAGCGATATTTTCTCCTTCACTGCATTCAGCAAATATAGGTGGTTGGGCCTGGGTTTTATGATTTACCTCTCCAGTGTTATAGTCAATGTACACAATTGTGTTTGTTTTTGTGTCAGCAACAATAAGTTCACTATAGTAATTATTCATAGCAATATTCACACATCGAAGGCCTTTAGGACGTTCTATCCTACGTTGCCAATTTCCATTTTCCTTGTAGATATCAATTCCTTCATCGTGCAGCAATATAATACATCGATCATGTGTGACTACCACAGACCTGCATTTTCCACATTTACAAAAGTTGTTTTTTTCTTTAAAGTTTTCATCCAGTATTATACTTTCCATTGTAGTTTTCCCCTTCACCAGAACTATTGTGTCCTTGCCTAAACCAGCAATATGGGAAATTATTTTACCTTTGCTGATTTTATGCATTAAAACCCCACACAGAGATCTTATACATGTTGTCTGATCGAGTGTCCTTTCTTCAATTGGAAGATTCTTTGAGCTTGTAGTTTTGTTTTGTGGTATTAATCTAGCTTTAATCCTAAAGAATATACTTGGTTGTGCCATAGCGCTTGATTCATATGTCTCTTCTTCAACTTCATTTGAATTTGTCTGATCCACACTGTTCAATAGTTCTTCATTGCTTATCATATCTTGATTATTGTCAATGAAATGGTTGGAGCCTTCATTTATCTTGAATCTATTGCATATTTCAAGCTTTGGGAGCTCTATATTGTTATCATTATTAGCACTGAGGATAGGTTTTATATAGCAGTCATTTGTAATATGAAAATGGGTTGAGTTAACCCATGCTTCTTTTCTGGTTCTTATCTCAGGAATCAAATTAGCAATCTCGACTACATGGCCAAGATCACAAAGTTCCTTTTTAGAAATTCTGATGGCATCTTGTTCGCTTTTAAAATTGTCAAGTTCAGACTTGATATTCTTAATAACAATTCTGCTCTTGACTTCTACTTCCTGGTTTAGTTTTGCGTAATGGGATTCTATTTTTGTGATTGTTTCATCTTTATCTTTCTGAAGTGATTCAATGCATGATTTTGTCTCATTTTCAAAGTCCTCAATGGCTTGTTGACACGCATTGATGGCATGTTGATATTGTTTCAAGTCTTGCTCCTGCTGGTTAATAACCTCAACAAGGTCATCGTATCTCGAATTTGCACCTCTTTGGATATCCTCATAATCGTGGCCTGAATGTTTAGTGATATGGCATGATTGGCAGAATACAGATTGATCAGTGTTACAGTAGAACTGAAGAGCTTTGTTATCGTGTTCTTCGCAGAAAATTGTTCGTTCAGAAAGTTGTTTGATAACTTTGTCAATGTCAGCACCTCCCAGGTCAAGGAGGAAATGTTCTTTTGTTAGACGAGATAGTCTATGATTGTCCTTGCACGTCTCACAATATTTCTCATCACATCCCCCCATGCACTTGGAAACAGCGGGGATGGTTTTACCCATCTGTATACATATATCACAGTTATGTTCACCATTGCTTTGCTGTGTATTCTGATAAACATCCAACCAGGCACTTGCCTTGTAATTTACCTTGAACCCTTTACCATCAGGGCCTGTAATGGGGCACAATTGCTCGCATGTTAGACATTCAAAAACTCCTGTGGCCTTATTACTGTTACCCAATTCTTCAATACATCCTAGACAGTTGGTATGCAAACAGGGTAGATATCTTGGATCTTTGTATATTTCCTTACAATGATTACATGTAAGTGTCATTTTTAGGTCATCAGATGAAGTCTCTTCTTCTTTCGCTGTCGCCATTGTAAAGTTGCCTATTGTAGTGATAGTCAGCTGTGTATTGTATGTCTGTAAAATTGCTCTTAGCCTATAACTATTGTATTTTCACTGCTTGTGTCTATTCCTTGTCTTGAGACTGTGTGTGGATTTGATCATACACCTTTTACTATCATGTTATTCTCGTGTATTCTAGTAATTGACATGTGATGTACTTGATCATTGATATCGTCATTGTCTAAAGAGAAACTCTCCTCTCATCACACTTACATATCACAAGGGGCTTGGTCAATTATAATTACATTGGAGGTGGGGTAGCAAGCCTATTCTTAAGACTAAAAACAGTGATATGCATGAGGGGGTTATAATGTTAATTTAAAGCTTTATTGAATAGGAGGAGGAGTCTCATTCTTTGTGAAATTACTTAAATCACTAAATTTAAACTGACATTTTGATGCAGCCCCTAATTTGTTTTTCATTGTATTTTTTCAAATTGAATAGATAACAAATTGACTTAACAATTGTATCATTACATCATATACATGTACATTTATTCTTAGTCTTACACATCGTACATTTATTATGATAATTATTAATCTCAGAGTTAATGTATATTTATTAGCACAACCTGCCTGAAATTTGTCAAAGATTTGCCAAAATCACAAGATGCTTGTAAGGGTATTGTTCTTAAGATTCTCAGTCAAAGGAACAGTCTTTTAAAAAAGTGCCACATATCTCTATCAGTACTATACATGTATAGTGTACGATAAGCTATGATTGTTAAGGCTAGCTACGTAAGTGGCCTGGTAAGTGGTAATCTGAAATCTTTCCAAACAGGTCCACTTATCAGCTCTTTCATCTGATTGACAGCAATATGTTTTAATTGTAAATATACATCTATCTAGAATTGATTTTTAGGTGTATTATGATTCTATGACATAGAATTATTATAAATTAAATTTGAAATCATAATCTGTTTTATCCTATACAGTTTGATGTAGAGCTTGCCAAACAAAATGCAAATAAACCCAGTGAGGAGGGTGGCAGTGACGCTGAGGAACTCCGCAAGAAACTGTGGTTGAGAATTGCACGGCATGTAGTGGAAGAAGAGAAGGACATCAAACGTGCGATGGAATTTCTTCATGAGTGTGATTTATTGAAAATTGAAGATATTCTGCCATTCTTCCCTGATTTTGTGACAATAGATCACTTCAAGGTACATGTGTATTCCAAATAAAAATCAGTATAACCATTCTATTTTTAGTTTTAAGGATTTGTGTGTTTACAGAAAAAGTTTTTGTACCAACGATATAATCTAACATAAAACTTATTTGAAAAAAAAGCAAGTTACAATGTCAAGTCATTTAAAGTTATGGTTTCGGGATTTCTTTCAAACAGAGTAACTGATGCATTTTATAGTACAACACCTATGATCGTTAATGTTTTCAGGATGCAATTTGTACTTCTCTACAAGAATATAACCAGCATATTGAGTCCCTGAAAGAAGAAATGGAGGAGGCAACCGAGAGTGCCAAAGACATAAGGGGAGAAATACAAGCCTTTAGGAACAAGTAAGAATTTAAAATTCAAGATATGCACTTTTATATTGATTAACCAAAATCTGTTGAAGTAACTGCTTTGTATGTACATGTACTTGGTTCAAGGAAATCTTCCTAGCCTTTTTAATCACCATAGGATCATTAGTGATAATGCATCAATGAATTCTGCACATTTGAAACTATAATGGTTCCACATTTTAACTGTTATCGACAGTGTATACTGTAATTACATTGTATGGTTATCCTTTTTCCAGATATGCCTTTGTGAAAGGTCAAGATAAGTGCTCAAGCTGTAATTTTCCCTTGATGACTCGCAACTTCTACCTTTTTCCCTGTATGCATCGCTTCCACACAGATTGCCTCGTGGCAGAGGTAGAACATTTAGCTTGAAATCATTTTTTAACATAGGGATTTTGAACTAAGGGAGGTTATTCCATATCTGAACTATTTTTAAACTTGGGGATGGTATTTTTATCCCTGTGTTTGTAGTAGACTGAGATCTCATTCTGTAAATGCTTAATGTTCTTCAGGTGACCCCTTATTTAACCAGTGCCAAAAGATCACAAGTGATAGAGCTACAGAGAAGGTTAGGAACCCATGATGGCAGCTCTCCATCTACCCCTGCCCAGGGCAAAGGTCAAAGTTTAAAGGCATGTAACAACATGTACTTCCTGTTTTAAAAGATGATTTTGATTCATCGGTAAATAAAGATAAAGATAAAATAAAAAACACTTAAAAGCTAAATAATTGTATGTCGAAAAATTAGCTGCATCCTTTTAGCAGTCCAACTAAATTACTTGATTTGTTGTAGTCAACAGCAACACTCCACATTGGTGGACATGCATGGTAACAGATATCTATGTTTTCTTCAACAGGTGGAGCTGGATGAGCTGGTTGCCGGGGAGTGTGTATTTTGTGGAGATTATATGATTAGGTGAGCTGCACCAAGGCAAACCATTGGGAAGAGAATTCAGTTTCCCAAGATTTTACCTGTTTTTTATCAAGATTGTATCTGTAAATATTATCAAAGAAATTGATGTCATTTTTTCAATTTCCAAATTTTTATATTTTTGCACACATTCGGACAATCAATTTTTTCAATTCTACTACATACATACATACCATTTTAAAGCATTTTTTAAAACATTTTTAAGTATTCAATGTCATATCAAATATATGTAGGCCTACATGTAAGTGTCCAATGTTTCAAAATACTTATATAATTGTCACATATCTTAAGACTAATTATTATTATTATTATATTTCTTTATTTCCCATTTAGCATGGAGTAATTTCATGACTAATTTTATATGTATCCATGGTGATCACGGTATATTATGATTGGTCCTTAGCAACCTCATATTGTATTCCATATGTTGTGATTTGTTTCAGGAATATAGACAAACCATTTATTGATCCTGCAGAATACAGTGAGGTGATCAGTAGTTGGGAGTAGAGACAAACACTATTCTATAGGATGAAATATCAGAGCATTCAACAACCTCTCCATCGTATTAGAGCAGAGACATTGATAAGATAACATTACCCCTGAGACGTTTTCTCAATTGAGTTCATAATTTTCACTCCAAAATTGGTCAAAATATCCATGTTTAAAGATTTTCTGAATTTCCAATTTCAAGTTTGATTTTAACCAGGTACAGGATTATTTTTGAATTCTCAACTGAGAGCACTTGCTTTCAACAATAAGTCTAGTGCATTATTTGAGAAAATAGCTCAAATAGAGGCAATTCTTCATTCATTCACATGGATGAGATACCTTTCAACCATTCAATAACAGCCTGAAATTATGAACCCATTCATATAACCGACTTAAAGCTACTTGGTATATAAATTTTGATGCAGGCCATCCATCAAATGAAAACATCAACCATATGCCATCCAAAATTGTTAATGGCACAATCCCAAAATATTGTTCAGTATTCCAATTGTTTTGCATAATAAATTTCAACAGAAGAATATAAGTGAACAAAAGAGTATTATAAAATGGATCAATATCATAAATAGGGATTTGTTTTAATGAAATTACAAAATACTTCTATACTCTAGGGGCCAGGACAGGACAGAATTATCAACGGAATCACTTTTATTCTTTCAGGATCACTACCCCAGCTCTCCACATGGATGTTTACAGCACTTCTCATTGTCTATTATAAAATTTATATATCCTAAAAAGTAAAAAATAGATCCTTTTGGCACATACTTTGTGCTAATATTCAAAGGATAGGTATCGATATAATGAACAACAATGTTTTTCTCTTAAACCAATTACTGAAAACATTCTGTAAAAAAACATTGTCCTTTATGTAATGTTGACTATGATTGGCAACAATTTAATGCAAAATTTATTTATATATATTTTATATAACTGTTTTTGTTAACTTTTTTGATTTTTAGTGCAATTGTTTTTTGTTCCTTTCTACCAATTCTTGAGAATGAAATAAAATGTTTTTCCGAACCTTGTTGGAACAAAATAGCATATACAACATTTTCTAAAACCACTCAATATTATAGTTATACAAAGAAAATTTTGGTTGATTTTACAATAAATATGCAAAAACTTAAAACAAAACCCCCCCAAAATAGATAAAAATTAAGTTCAACCTTTTATTTCATTAACAAGATAGGCTACTTTTTTAAAATCAACCAAACTTTCCATTGTACAGTTACAATATTGAGAGACCTAAACACGTTGGGTTTATGTCATTTTGTTCCAATAAGGTTCGGATAGATGTTTCATTTCATTCCGAACATACGATACCAAGAACAAAAGAAGTGTATTTTGTGTTTTCTAAAACAATATAGAGAAAAGTATATAAATATATTTCAAATTATAATATTACCATCCAAAAGATGACCATTAAATTGACGATGTGTAAAATTTTCAGAATGTTTTGATGACTGGTTTAAGAGAAACGCGTGTTCAAAAAGTTAACCATATCGATACCACTCCTTTCTTAAGTGTCCTGGCCCCCAGAGTATCATGTCAAACTCTTGATTTAATGCGATCAATGTTGCCAAATTTTGGAGAATGAAAAAACATTTAACAATACTATATACACACATATAATTGTATTGAATGGTATGTGTATAATGTTAACGATATTTATATCTAAAAGTTGAAAATATAAATAAAAGTAACTTAAAAGGATACTTGTTCATGTTTATTTTACTGACTTTTATGTAATGGATTAATTCCCAGATTGGGTTGATAGTTTTTCATGATCAATGGCTCATTGTTGACAGCAGGCCTGACAGATGGACAGACAGACCCATCCACCCACCAACCAACCCACCAGCTGAACCATTGCAACAAGTTGGCCATATTATTGGTCAATGACAAGTGAAGAACAACATAATTGTGTGAGAAATTTTTTATCAGGGCCCATACCATCAACATTGCACCTGGTTACAACACCACTATAAAACAAGCATCTGCATGCAATACTAATGTACCACAGACCCAAGCTGCTGGTGGCCCACCTCCCCAAAATACAGAGAAAAAACTTAAATAATAAAAAAAAATCAATGAAAGCCACCAACAATAAGTGTACACAACCAAATTAAAGGCATCAAATTGATGAAACAAGGATTTGGTCAATTATATATCCAGGAGATATAGATATTGAAAGGAGTTTTATGAGATAAAACATAAGTAAGCTCACTTTCAAAAGGCTAAATAAGGGAGCGTTTAGACAATGCTGGGATATCCCAAAGCTAATGTCATGTGATGGTTCAAAGTTCACAAATTAAGCACAGTGGATGAAATGTTCTAAAACTAGTGGTTATTGTAATCACTGATCAGGAAATATGTTCATGAATTTTGAACATCAAAGCTTTGTAAATGCCATCAAATAAATTGATAAAAAAACACAATAAGGAAGTTAGTTCAGTTGTATTAATCGTTAACCAAATAAAAATTCCTATTTGCACCGCTACACCTTTTATATATCTGACATTTATTTATAATTCATCTTAAAGCCCCAAAGAACATTAATGATGTTGATCTCAGGTTATCATCTCGAAACCTCTTCCATCATTTTAAAACCTCTTCCCTTTACCACAATTCTTTCTGACTTGAGAAGACCAAGTCTTTATTAATTCCTTTTTATTAAATGCCTGGAATGACTGGAAAGCAATAAAATGCACTAACTACAGTACCTATGATACAAAGATAAGCTTTAAGAGATGTCAGGATAACTTCAATGTTAACAACAGTAAGTATTTCATAAGTATTTCGTAAGTTTTTGTCTGGGAGAATAACAGGAGGTAAGCATGTAATTATTCTTTTTTAGTTTGGTCTATTTGTTTTTGTAGCATTCAATCCTCTTGTATTGATGATATTTTCATAATTTTAAGTCTTGTTTTATTTAATCTATCATCAGAATATTTAGTTAGTTAAGTTCTTATTTGAAAAATGATGCCTTAGAACATCAAATGAAATCTTCCTGGTTCACTATATTGCACCAAGAAAGGAGTTCAACTGAGTAGTATACAACTCAAACTGCCCATAGTTGCCATGAATCAAGTAAACTGCCCATTGTTGCCATGAATCAAGAAAACTTCCCATTGTTGCTATGAATCAAGAAAACTGCCCATTGTTGCCATGAATCAAGGGAGTTATTGTAATCTTAGGGAGTAAACATGCAGAACCAGGCCCAGTCACAAGAAGGTGTCTATCAGCCTCAGCAGCAAGTTATTTACACCATTCAACCCCCAAATCCAAGTGGCAGAGTTGAACGATTCAATGGAAGAGCATCAATCAGGATTGGATCCTTGATGATTGGGTTTGGGGTTCTATCTATTGCTCTTGGGGGTGCAGCTATTGGTTTATATGGAACAGTGTATGACATTGGTACAGGAATCTGGTGCGGGCTGTTGGTAAGTATAGTAAATATATTGAATGTTACTAACTAGCCACACTCAACTCTCCTTAGTTTGATATCTCCTGATACAATTGTATTATGCAATTTTCGGTGGTTGAAACCAAATGCACTTGTCCAATTATTGTTTTTCAAAAAATGTTCCATTAGGAAATCTTTTAAGGCATTACAAATGTTCACATATTAGATATGCAGTATTCTAATCTATTTGTCTACAGGGTGACCCAAAAACAGATCCATCTAAAAGTGTGATAATTTCTAAAATACCTATCCCAAATACCTAATCCAGTAACTGTGAACATTAAGCAGATATAACCTCTTGTTAACATCCATAAACATTTAGGCATTATTTTAGACAGAAACCTTACATTTGAAGAACATATTAACTCTGTAATTACTAGATGGAATAAAAAATTAAATCCATTAAGGCACTCAAATTTTCTGTAAGATCGAAGCATTTGCAAACTATTTATATGGCGTTCATCCTCCCACATCTTGAATATGGCAATATTATTTCTGACAGCGCAAAGCTAAACCTCTTATCAAGCTTAGATATCCAAGGCTCAAATTCGGAGAAAGTTATGACACGTCTGGGTTGGAGAACTTGATCTGATCGAAGGAAGGAAAAAATTGTTTTTTATGTTTGACCTTGCAACAAATTACAAAATTCCATCCTATGTCTCAAATGTTTTTGAACAGCATAGGAATCAAGTAAATGATCCTAGACTGCGACGCACAAATAGCTTCATGATCCTACCTGAAGCATCAACTAAATTAAGAAAATTCACAGCCTAATTATCTTGTATTAAGTTATGGAATTAGTTACCTGGTGAGCTCAAACTAGCACGGTCACGCAACTCTTTTAAATATCAAATTAGAACTTTTTTAAACGGTAAAAAGAAGGAAATTACTTCACCAAAATTAAACCTTAACAGAGAAGAGGAAATTGTTCTAAATAAAACAATAATTTTTAGGCAACACCTATTTACACAAATGCCATATGTAAATGTGGTCAATCTTCTGAATCAACCAAACACCTTTAGCTCCAATGCCCTCTTTTTAATAATTTAAGACTCAACTTCCACAGAGAACTTAGGGGGGCCATCCTTTAATTATGTCATAATGTCATAGAAGACAGGGTAGATCTTTTACTTTTTGCTGATCCCTCTCTAGACCCCATTACAAATAAAAAGGTTATTGAACACAGCTGATTTTCTACTTGCTATCTTCATGGAAGTCATACTCACAATTCAAAACTCATATTTATGTACCTTCCTCGACCCTGTCTTCAAGTTTAACTGATTATTTTCTTATCCAAACATGTTTTATATTAATTTGTATTGTTATATCGTTAATTTTAACAGGGCCAAAAATGCCTACGTGTAGGCCCTGTACTACTGAATTGTATGACTTATTATCATGAAATAAAGAAAACAGAATCTATGGATGATAATACGATATCAAGAATTTGAAGTCACGCCAGTTATTTTTGCGTGACAGAAAATGTCACGCAAATACGCATTTTACCTGGTAATTGTCAAGCAAAAATCTTTCTGTTGAAAACCCCTCCCCCCCCCCCGTTGATGGATGTTTGAAACGCGAGCGTAGCGAGCGCGAAAAATTTGAGGTGTTCAAAATTTGGTAAGGTGTAATAAAATTTAAACCAAGGTGTTCAAAATGTGGATCAAGGTGTTCAGATTTGGACCAAGGTGTCCACATTTTGAGGGGAGGTGTTCAACATTTCCAAGTCACTCATGTTATGTGTTCCCAAGTTGACAGGCCTGAAGTACAGTGTATGATTGCAGTGAATGCAGTTCCAAGGTATCACTCAGAAGGTGCAGCCATACCTAAAGATGGCTTAAAGGTTGCTGGGACACTTCCTCATTAATGATCTCAATCACCATACTCACAAAAGCTTAAAAAAGGAAGTAAATGAATGTGATTGGTTTAGACAAACGATGTGTAAACTTTTGGTTGACATGAAAACCTTACATTTTGTTTTCTTTCAAAAGGGCACATTTTTAATTGACCATAACAAGAAAAATGAATGCTATGTAACATATTTGCCCTCACATTGTCATCCATAGATTGCAGTTTCAGTACATGAAAAATGAAGATTACATGTGTATTAAGAAATTATTTCATTTTTGGAGTGTTCAGTTTTTGGGGTCACCCTGTAGATTAAATCTATTTGCAGACAGTTGTGTACATCTCCTGTTCAAGTTAAGCTCATAGGAACACTTTTTCTGAGGACTGAATGCTTCAGTTAATTCAACAATGTTATCTCTCATTTGTTAACAATTTATTTATATAATTGTAGTTCTTTATACTGACTGGATCATTTGGCATTGCTGCAGGCAGATCAAAATCAAAATGTTTGGTAAGCAACCTTCAAAACAGCTAATATAATATCTCTGTTTGTGTATTTTAAAATAAGACATAAACATAACATAAAGATGAGGATTTGATACTTGGTATTTGAACACTAGTAGTCACATATTTGGACACATTTCTTTTATTTTGTAGATCATCGCATTTATGGTCTTGTCAATTGTGATGGTGTCTATTGCCTGCCTAATTCTGTTGGTCAACTCTTCTATTGGACTGGCAAATGATGTTGATTACCTGAAGTATCAATGCAACAATGAATATGATTACCATTTTTGCCATAGCAAGGTAGGCCCTAAAGGAAAAATCAGGTCTAGCAAGATCCTTACAAGAACTCTTGGCAAGAATTGTTTCCATTTTAGAATTTTTTTGGGTTTGTAGAAAAAACTGGATACAGGGTACTGGGTATTAAATCCTGCATGTGGGAATAAAGCTAGATACCCCATACCATGTTGAAAAAGTGGGTACCTAAAAACTGGGTATCTAAAAACTGGGTATCTATTATTTGAACCTTTTTCAGCTTGCACAAGCTATTATTGTCACTTTTAATGTCTTTTTACCAGAATGAACTCGTCCTCTAACAAATTAGTTTCTACTTCAAAATGAAGACAACAACAGAATGACAGTTTTATGGTTCATTCTAGTAAAGAGACATTAAATGTGACAGTAATTATTATAAGCTTACGATCATGTGCTGACTAAAAATGATTCTATAATAGCCAGGACCAGATAATAATCTAAAGGTGCTATTTAACAACATCAACAGTGTGAAAGCAGATTCATTAAACCGCCTTGATTATCCAGCTAAGGCCACCGGGGTACTACATGCCATGTGCACCAAGTACAATTAGCATCTTGCCAAGTACGAGGTATACACGTTGCCCAGCATGTGGACCAAGTTACAAGTCACATGCTGCCATGTCCCATATTTAAATTTATCAAAGTCTCAATGATAAACCTTGCATGTGCAGCATGTGGACCAAGTTAGCAAGTGACATGGTACCATGTTGCATGTTCAAATAGCATCTTGCCAAGTTTAAACTATACAAGTCGCATGTGCTGCATGTGGACCAAGTTAGCAAGTGATATGGTGCCATGTTGCATGTACAGATAGCATCTTGCCAAGTTTAAACTTTACAACTCGCATGTGCAGCATGTGGACCAAGTTAGCAAGTGACATGGTGACATGTTGCATGTACAGATAGCATCTTGCCAAGTTTAAACTTTACAACTCGCATGTGCAGCATGTGGACCAAGTTACAAGTCACATGCTGCCATGTCCCATATTTAAATTTATCAAAGTCTCAATGATAAACCTTGCATGTGCAGCATGTGGACCAAGTTAGCAAGTGACATGGTACCATGTTGCATGTTCAAATAGCATCTTGCCAAGTTTAAACTATACAAGTCGCATGTGCTGCATGTGGACCAAGTTAGCAAGTGACATGGTGCCATGTTGCATGTACAGATAGCATCTTGCCAAGTTTAAACTTTACAACTCGCATGTGCAGCATGTGGACCAAGTTAGCAAGTGACATGCTGCCATGTTGCATGTTCAAATATCATCTTGCCAAGTTTAAACTATACAACTCGCATGTGCAGCATGTGGACCAAGTTGCCAAGTGACATGGTACCATGTTGCATGTACAGATAGCATCTTGCCAGGTTTAAACTATACAACTTGCATGTGCAGCATGTGGACCAAGTTGCCAAGTGACATGGTACCATGTTGCATGTACAGATAGCATCTTGCCAAGTTTAAACTATACAACTCGCATGTGCAGCATGTCGACCAAGTTGCCAAGTGACATGGTACCATGTTGCATGTACAGATAGCATCTTGCCAAGTTTAAACTATACAACTCGCATGTGCAGCATGTGGACCAAGTTAGCAAGTGACATGCTACCATGTTGCATGTTCAAATAGCATCTTGCCAAGTTAAAACTATACATCTCGCATGTGCAACATGTGGACCAAGTTAGCAAGTGACATGCTGCCATGTTGCATGTCCGAGTAGCATCTTGCCAAGTTTCAACTACACATCTCGCATGTGCAGCATGTGGACCAAGTTAGCAAGTGACATGCTACCATGTTGCATGTTCGAATAGCATCTTGCCAAGTTTAAACTATACAACTCGCATGTGCAGCATGTGGACCAAGTTAGCAAGTGACATGCTACCATGTTGCATGTTCGAATAGCATCTTGCCAAGTTTAAACTATACATCTCGCATGTGCAACATGTGGACCAAGTTAGCAAGTGACATGCTGCCATGTTGCATGTCCGAGTAGCATCTTGCAAAGTTTAAACTATACATCTCTATTGTATAAAGTAACTGTATTGTAATTATTATGTTTGTTGCTCCGATTAATTTTCGGGAATAAAAGAAACAATAAACAATATATAAGTTTGAGCTTTGTAGTAAGCATATGAAGAAATCATCCTCTACAATATTCTAGGTTAGCTGACCACTAACTACACTAACTACACTGACTACATTAGTATTCTGCCACTCTCAGGCCAGTATTCAGCTTTTGCCAGGGATGGAAGCGGGGGGCTGTTTTTAAAGAATTCCATGAGCGATTTGACTTTGCCTTTGCATTATTTCTTAGAATTCACTGCGACTTAAAACATGTAAAAATTTTCAATATGATAATAATAGATTACTAACTATGTTCTCATAAAACAAAAATAGATTGCAGAGAATAAATTATTATGTAGAGAGATGATTTTATTATGGAATAATTGTCCAGTAAAGTTCATTAACTTGTTAATATTACAAAGCTATGAACAGCATATCACTGTATCATATACAATTCTAACACAATTCTAAACACATGTGAACATAATAGTATCCTTGTACTAATGTTCTAATCTGAGTGTCAATTAGTTCACTATGTAGGCTCCCTGCTCAGAAACATCTTGAATTCTTGAATAAGTAGAAATAAGAATATAACTGTATTCATGCAGAATTGAAAATCTGTATATTTAGATATTACAGTTAGCAACATACATTCTAATAAGCGATAATTCACACCAATGCATAGCATTCATCCTCACATGATTTTGGGGAAAAATTAAGAAAATTGGTTCAAAAATAGGCGAGAAAAAATATTTTGTTTTCCCGTAAATATAACAAAACTCCCATACCGTTTTAACCCGTTAAACTACTGTTAATTCCCGTACCGTACTTCTACTAAAATGTACCTTAATTTTTTTGAATCCATTTTTTCCCGTGAAAATGGCCGTAATAACCTCCCGTATTTTTGACTGAAATCTCCCTTAATCTACCGTGTTTGAGCTAAATCTACAGCATTTTAAAATAATTATTATGATTATTGGACTTCTTTCTTTTAAGGAAATATAGGTATTTTTCTGTAAAAACTGAGCGAGCAAAGGAACCCTCATAATACTTGTTCAGGGCCAACTTGTCAAATAATCAGCCTTATTACTCATTAATTTTTGTCATATTCTTTTGTTTTCCTTATTCATTTAACTAAAACCTATTCTTCATATCACAGAATCAAGTATAAGTCACCATGACCTCGTTCAAAACCAATTTCAGGTTGGCAGATCTGACTTAGGGTGCAAAATATTTTCGATATGCTAAAACATTGAAGTGAGAAAAAAAAGCTTACAACTTTTTTCAAAAAATCTCTAAAATAACTTTTAAAGTCACGACAAATAGTAAATGAATGATAAAAAGATATTTTCAAACTTAACACGGGGACTTTAAAATAAGGAAAATAGTGAAGACTGCATGTTTTCTCAACGAGGTATATCCAGAACTTGTGCAATATCAAAACAATCAAAAAGATGAATTCCATCAAGACCACGAAACTGTGTCAAAACATCCCAAAAAGACCATGAATATGTGTGTCAAAAAAATAAAGAAATGAATTCCATAAATACAATAAACTTGGGAGTAAAAAAAATCCAAAAAATGAATTTGACACCAAATAATGAATTTAACCCTAACCTTAACTGTAACGTAACCCTAAGACCATGATTTGTGTGTCAAAAATATGAAATAAATAAAAAAAATGAATTACATAAATACAATAAACTTCTGTGTCAATAGATAATAAAAAAAATTAATTCTTACCTTAACCCTAACCCTAATTACCAACCCCAACCCTATCAAACCAGATGGGGTTTTAAACGATTACCTAACCCTGACCTAACCACTGAGGACACAAGACGCATACTAGACCCTAATAATACAGGGTCAAATTGGCAGGAGCGGCAATCACGTACTAGATACAAGATCCACTTGGCAGAAGCGGCGATTGCGTACCAGACCCTTATGATACAGGGTCCACTTGGCAGGAGCGGCGTTTGCATACCAGACCCTAATGATACAGGGTCTACTTGGCAGGAGCAGCGATCGCTATCAGTAGGGTCTGGCACATGAACGCCGCTCCTGCAAAGTGAAATGAGTTAACCGTAACCTTAACCCTAACCCTAATTACCAACCCCATCCCTATTAAACCAGATGGGGTTTTAAATGATTACCTAACCCTGACCAACCCACTGAGGACAAAGGACGTGTACCAGACCCTAATGATACAGGGTCCACTTGGCAGGAGCGGCGATCGTGTACCAGACCCTAATGATACAGTGTCCACTTGGCAGGAGCAGCGTTCGCGTACCAGACCCTAATGATACAAGATCCACTTGGCAGGAGCGGCGATTGTGTACCAGACCCTAATGATACAGGGTCCACTTGGCAGGAGCGGCATTTGCATACCAGACCCTAATGATACAGGGTCTACTTGGCAGGAGCAGCGATCGCTATCAGTAGCTTCTGGCACATGAACGCCGCTCCTGCAAAGTGAAATGAGTTAACCGTAACCTTAACCCTAACCCTAATTATCAACCCCATCCCTATTAAACCAGATGGGGTTTTAAATGATTACCTAACCCTGACCAACCCACTGAGGACACAGGACGCGTACCAGACCCTAATGATACAGGGTCCACTTGGCAGGAGCGGCGATCGTGTACCAGACCCTAATGATACAGGGTCCACTTGGCAGGGGCGGTGATCGTGTACCAGACCCTAATGATACAGGGTCCACTTGGCAGGTGCGGAATTCGCGTACCAGACCCTAATGATACAGGGTCACCTTGGCAGGAGCGGCGATCGTGTACCAGACCCTAATGATACAGGGTCACCTTGGCAGGAGCGGCGATCGTGTACCAGACCCTAATGATATAGGGTCCACTTGGCAGGTGCGGAATTCGCGTACCAGACCCTAATGATATAGGGTTCACTTGGCAGGAGC